ACACAGACACACACTCATACGAACACAGACACACACACTCATACGAACACAGACACACACACTCATACGAACACAGACACACACACTCATACGAACACAGACACACACACTCATACGAACACAGACACTCACTCACACACACACTCACTCACACAAATACAGACACTCACTCACTCACTCACACACACACACTCACACAAATACAGACACTCACTCACACACACACACTCACTCACTCACACAAATACAGACACACACTCAAACGAACAGACACACACACACACATACTCATACGAACACAGACACACACACACATACTCATACGAACACAGACACACACACACATACTCATACGAACACAGACACACACACACATACTCATACGAACACAGACACACACACACATACTCATACGAACACAGACACACACACACATACTCATACGAACACAGACACACACACACATACTCATACGAACACAGACACACACACACATACTCATACGAACACAGACACACACACACATACTCATACGAACACAGACACACACACACATACTCATACGAACACAGACACACACACACATACTCATACGAACACAGACACACACACACATACTCATACGAACACAGACACACACACACATACTCATACGAACACAGACACACACACTCATACGAACACACACACACACACTCATACAAACACACACTCATACGAACACAGACACACACACACATATACTCATACGAACACAAGACACACACACTCATACGAACACACACACTTATACGAACACACACACACTTATACGAACACACTCACACTCATACGAACACACTCACACTTATACGAACACACACACACTCATACGAACACACACACACTCATACGAACACAGACACACACTCATACGAACACACATACAAACACAGACACACACTCATACGAACACACATACAAACACAGACACACACTCATACAAACACACATACAAACACAGACACACACACATACAAACACAGACACACACACACACACATACAAACACACACACTCATACGAACACAGACACACACACACACACTCATACAAACACACACACTCATACAAATACAGACACACACTCATACGAACACAGACACACACACACACACTCATACAAACACACACACTCATACAAATACAGACACACACTCATACGAACACAGACACACACACACACACTCATACAAACACACACACTCATACAAATACAGACACACACTCATACGAACACAGACACACACACACACACTCATACAAACACACACACTCATACAAATACAGACACACACTCATACGAACACAGACACACACACACACACTCATACAAACACACACACTCATACAAATACAGACACACACTCATACGAACACAGACACACACACACACACTCATACAAACACACACACTCATACAAATACAGACACACACTCATACGAACACAGACACACACACACACACTCATACAAACACACACACTCATACAAATACAGACACACACTCATACGAACACAGACACACACACACACACTCATACAAACACACACACTCATACAAATACAGACACACACTCATACGAACACAGACACACACACACACACTCATACAAACACACACACTCATACAAATACAGACACACACTCATACGAACACAGACACACACACACACACTCATACAAACACACACACTCATACAAATACAGACACACACTCATACGAACACAGACACACACACACACAGACACACACACACACACATACAAACACACACACTCATACGAACACAGACACACACACACACACTCATACAAACACACACACTCATACAAATACAGACACACACTCATACGAACACAGACACACACACATACGAACACAGACACACACATACGAACACAGACACACACATACGAACACAGACACACACATACGAACACAGACACACACATACGAACACAGACACACACATACGAACACAGACACACACATACGAACACAGACACACACATACGAACACAGACACACACATACGAACACAGACACACACATACGAACACAGACACACACATACGAACACAGACACACACATACGAACACAGACACACACATACGAACACAGACACACACATACGAACACAGACACACACATACGAACACAGACACACACATACGAACACAGACACACACATACGAACACAGACACACACATACGAACACAGACACACACATACGAACACAGACACACACATACGAACACAGACACACACATACGAACACAGACACACACATACGAACACAGACACACACATACGAACACAGACACACACATACGAACACAGACACACACATACGAACACAGACACACACATACGAACACAGACACACACATACGAACACAGACACACACATACGAACACAGACACACACATACGAACACAGACACACACATACGAACACAGACACACACATACGAACACAGACACACACATACGAACACAGACACACACATACGAACACAGACACACACATACGAACACAGACACACACATACGAACACAGACACACACATACGAACACAGACACACACATACGAACACAGACACACACATACGAACACAGACACACACATACGAACACAGACACACACATACGAACACAGACACACACATACGAACACAGACACACACATACGAACACAGACACACACATACGAACACAGACACACACATACGAACACAGACACACACATACGAACACAGACACACACATACGAACACAGACACACACATACGAACACAGACACACACATACGAACACAGACACACACATACGAACACAGACACACACATACGAACACAGACACACACATACGAACACAGACACACACATACGAACACAGACACACACATACGAACACAGACACACACACATACTCATACAAACACAGACACACACACACACACAAATACAGACACACACTCATACGAACACAGACACACACACATACTCATACAAACACAGACACACACACACACACAAATACAGACACATACTCATACGAACACAGACACACACACAAACAAACAAACAAACAAACAAACACACACACACACAAACACACACACACACACACACACACACACACACACACACACACACACACATACTCATACGAACACAGACACACACACACACATACGAACGAACGAACACACAAAGACAAAAAAGTGCAAAAGTTTCCAGCTCAAGACAGCACACCACATTAAACATCACAATACAAATGCTCATGTAAAGCAGTATCTTCTCAAGCGTTCTACTGTAGTTACATATCCACTATATTTATCTTTCTACGTTACTCACGCCAGTCAACTTCTGCAGTTCGCGGGTTCTGGAGGATCACGGGAGCACGTCAGCTGCGTCACACTCACGTCTTTCAAGATGGCGGCGCTCGCGTCCTTGATGCTGCAATCCAGAGCCTGTGAGTAGAAAGACCATTTTTATGGCTTTTTCGGATTGTATTATGAACAGTGCAAGTAAAACAAGAATAATATGAAATAATTGAGCCCTTTCCGCGTTTTGTAATGACTGTGAGATGGTAGTAGCGTGCTGAGCCACCATTCCCTGACAGCACAGTGAGCATGTGTTACATGTTGACAGCATTTAAACTGTGACAAGCGGACTGATTTGGCATTGGTAATGCAGATCGTTAAGGATCATGTTAATTTAATGCCCAGCAAACCGTTATATCAAACTGATGCCTATGATGTGAAGGACAGTTTAAACATCATCTAGTAGTATGTTGCCTGTGTTATGGATCAACTGGGGATGTGCGCGTGCATGTGAGCTATTGTACGCCCCATTCCAGCAGATTCGTCAAGAGCGACTGCAAAGCTGTAATGAAAAGACGTTGGTACATTCTTAATGTTCTTAATAAATGTTGCTGCAATTATTACGCTGTGTTGTTAATACCTGAATACCTGTTTTAATGCTTGCGACACAGTTTAAGTGTCATTTTAACACGATTTCACGAGGTGACACAAACCACGCCCACGTTATCTTGCCACATTCACTTCTATGGAAAATGACAATCACTCAAATAAACGTATATTTTCAAGTGTAATTCACTTTTATTTACACGATTTAAAAATAGCAGTATGCTTGCATTGTGTAGATAGATGCTATTTATACTTAGTGGAAATAATGGCAGATACTCTATAGGCTACATTATATAAAAAAAGTATGCAATAGTTAAATTAAAAATATTTATTAAAGTTATCAAATGGATTCTGCCTTATGGGACAAGTAGTCCTCTCTACACCTACCCCAACCCAAATACTTATCAAATAGCTATTTTGGTGCTTTATTTCCACCTTTCCCACTAATGTTTTGTTGATTTTATTGAAAGTAAATAAATAAAGCATTTTGGGTCAGCTATATGATGGGGAAAAATAAGATGAACAAAGTTGGTTAAAGCCACACACACACACACACACACACACACACACACACACACACACACATACTCATACGAACACAGACACACACACACACATACGAACGAACGAACACACAAAGACAAAAAAGTGCAAAAGTTTCCAGCTCAAGACAGCACACCACATTAAACATCACAATACAAATGCTCATGTAAAGCAGTATCTTCTCAAGCGTTCTACTGTAGTTACATATCCACTATATTTATCTTTCTACGTTACTCACGCCAGTCAACTTCTGCAGTTCGCGGGTTCTGGAGGATCACGGGAGCACGTCAGCTGCGTCACACTCACGTCTTTCAAGATGGCGGCGCTCGCGTCCTTGATGCTGCAATCCAGAGCCTGTGAGTAGAAAGACCATTTTTATGGCTTTTTCGGATTGTATTATGAACAGTGCAAGTAAAACAAGAATAATATGAAATAATTGAGCCCTTTCCGCGTTTTGTAATGACTGTGAGATGGTAGTAGCGTGCTGAGCCACCATTCCCTGACAGCACAGTGAGCATGTGTTACATGTTGACAGCATTTAAACTGTGACAAGCGGACTGATTTGGCATTGGTAATGCAGATCGTTAAGGATCATGTTAATTTAATGCCCAGCAAACCGTTATATCAAACTGATGCCTATGATGTGAAGGACAGTTTAAACATCATCTAGTAGTATGTTGCCTGTGTTATGGATCAACTGGGGATGTGCGCGTGCATGTGAGCTATTGTACGCCCCATTCCAGCAGATTCGTCAAGAGCGACTGCAAAGCTGTAATGAAAAGACGTTGGTACATTCTTAATGTTCTTAATAAATGTTGCTGCAATTATTACGCTGTGTTGTTAATACCTGAATACCTGTTTTAATGCTTGCGACACAGTTTAAGTGTCATTTTAACACGATTTCACGAGGTGACACAAACCACGCCCACGTTATCTTGCCACATTCACTTCTATGGAAAATGACAATCACTCAAATAAACGTATATTTTCAAGTGTAATTCACTTTTATTTACACGATTTAAAAATAGCAGTATGCTTGCATTGTGTAGATAGATGCTATTTATACTTAGTGGAAATAATGGCAGATACTCTATAGGCTACATTATATAAAAAAAGTATGCAATAGTTAAATTAAAAATATTTATTAAAGTTATCAAATGGATTCTGCCTTATGGGACAAGTAGTCCTCTCTACACCTACCCCAACCCAAATACTTATCAAATAGCTATTTTGGTGCTTTATTTCCACCTTTCCCACTAATGTTTTGTTGATTTTATTGAAAGTAAATAAATAAAGCATTTTGGGTCAGCTATATGATGGGGAAAAATAAGATGAACAAAGTTGGTTAAAGCTGGGATTCGAGCTCGGATCAACCGTATCCAAAGTTGCTGTTGAGCATTAAGTCCCTACGCCACTGACGTGGAGGAGAGCTATGTGATGTTGACTGACCCAACCAGGCATTGGTGGGTAGAATGAGTGTAAATAAAGCAAATTGCTCTACTGATGTGGATGTATGTGGTCATATTGTTGACTCAAATATTTTAATAAATAATACATTACTCGGATTCAAAATGTTTTTTGTTTTTATTTCTTGGTTACTCAGACGGTGCCTTGTTAGCAATGTTAAATAAACAATTTAAATATAATATATTTATATATTTAATGTACCATATACATCTAGTCAAAATCACATAGCTCTCATCCACGTCAGTGGCGTAGGGACTTAAAGGGGTCATATGATGCGATTTCAAGTTTTCCTTTCTCTTTGGAGTGTTACAAGCTGATTGTGCATAGATAAGATCCCTGAAGTTGCAAAGACTAAAGTCTCAAAACCAAAGAGATATTCTTTATCAAAGTTAAGACACTGCCACGCCCCCCTAAAACGGCTCGTTCTAACACGCCCCCACATATCTACCTCACTATGTGGAAATATTTGCATAATGCAGCCCAAATGTGCACGCAAAGAAAGAAGGCGTGGTTTCAGTAACAGCAGTTAGTGTTGAAGCAGCCATGTCAGGGAGACGCTGTGTGTTTCAGTGCAAAAGCAAAAGCACTTTATTTGGCCTTCCGGAAGTAGATGCATTTAGGAATCTTTAAGCTTACTTACAACAGAACAGCAATGCATTTTATGGACGACCGTTTCGTGAACATAGGAGAGAAGATAATTATGACTTTGCTATGACAATCTGGCGCTTCTGAATCAGCTACTGTTTTGTTATTAGTTTAAGTATTTGCTATTGACTGTTCAAATGCGGAGTTAAAAAAGCATCATATGACCCCTTTATAATGCTCAACAGCAACTTTGATACGGTTGATTCGAGTTCGAATCCAGCTTTAACCAACTTCGTTCATCTTATTTTTCCCCATCATATAGATGATCCAAAATGCGTTTATTTTCAGTAAAATGAATAAAACATTCGCGGGAAAGGTGAAAATAAAGCACCAAAATAGCTATTTGATTTTAATTTAATTGTCCCATAAGGCAGCATCCATTTGATAACTTTAATAAATGTTTTCATTTTAACTATTGCATACTTTTTTTTATATAATGTAGCCTGTAGAGTATCTGCCATTATTTCCACTAAGTATAAATAGCATCTATCTACACTTTATGCAAATATACTGCTATTTTTAAATCGTGTAAATAAAATCTATCGCTATTTGCACTTAGTGTAAATAACAGACTGCTAAATAACGCTATTTTTACTCCGTGTAAATAAAAGTGAATTACACTTGAAAATATACGTTTATTTGAGTGATTGTCATTTTCCATAGAAGTGAATGTGTCAAGATAACGTGGGCTTGGTTTGTGTCACCTCGTGAAATCATGTTAAAATGACACTTAAACTGGGCTGCATGCATTAAAACAGGTATTTAGGAAACAACACAGTGTAATAATTGCATCAACATTTATTAAGAACATTAAGAATGTACCAACGTCTTTTCATTACAGCTTTGCAGTCGCTCTTGACTAATCTGCTGGAATGGGGCGTACAATAGCTCACATGCACGCGCACATCCCCAGTTAACATGATCCCCAGTTGATCCATAACACAAGCAATGATTTCTGTGTTCCTCTGGTCTTTGCAGGTATTCTGTTCAGTCAAACACCCACAGTTGTACTGACAAGATTTGCTTCAAAGAAATCAGGAGGAAGCAGCAAAAACCTAGGAGGGAAGAGTGCTGGCCGTAGATATGGTTACAAGAAACAAGATGGTGCGTTTTTGACTACTGACCTTGATCTCATAGGAGAAACATTTAGAGATTTTATGTGCTCTTACTGTGACTAGTCTTTTTTTATCCTCCATTACCTTGCATTATAACACATGTTTTGTTTTTCCTACTTTTAAGGGAACTTTGTACATGCGGGCAACATCCTTGCTACACAACGCAAGGGTTTAATGCGCTGGCAACCTGGAGCTCATGTAAGATGTTTGGAATCAAATATTTTTCTATGAGTAGTTGTATATAGCTATAGCTGTGCCTGGCTGGGGCAAGTTATCTTTTTTTTTTTTACAGTTTATTAATTACAATATCTGGTCACCAAAACCATACTTTGATATTTTTGTACAATACTTAGGCCTGTCGCAATTATCAATATATTAACTTATCGCGCAATAAATGTACATGACCTCAATCATTTTTGGTGACGCAAAATGTTTTTCAGCAATAGTGTGCACCCTTAATTTACAGAGAAAAGAAGGGCTGGGACAAATCTGTTGATGGAAAAATCTCCATACAAGTTCTTTGTGCATTTTTCTTTTTTTCTACTTGTTACTTTGCACTTTTTGTTAGAAAATGTTTATTTACTATTTATTCAGGTTTTTTTTAAGGTATCTAATATGTTGATACTTAATTTCCATGATCTAATTATTCTTAAAAATTTGGAAGTGTGTAGGCCTTCTTGCATTATTATGCTGTTACATTACAATTATATATTCAGTGGCATAAAATGGTCTTTAAAATGACAATAATATCGCTTATCGCAATCATTTCTGGGGCAATATATCGCACAACAAAAAGGTGTTATCATGACAGGCCTAACGATACCAATTTTTATGAATTAATTTATGCTTCAAAATTGTTTGTTTTTTAATCTTTGCTGAAATATCTAAACATGTAGTCCTATCTGTTTTCACAAGCATACAATTTCAGAACAAAAGCACAGTTTGTAATGGAAGTTGCTTTGATTCATATATATGTTCAAAAGTTTGGGATCAGTAAGATTTTTAATGTTTTCTTATGCTTATCAAGGCTGTATCTATTTGATCAAAAATACAGAAACAAAAACTGTAATTTTGTTAAATATTGCAATTAAAAAATAACAGTTTTCTATTTTAATATACGTTAAAATATAATGTATTCCTGTGAAGCAAAGCTGAATTTTCACCAGCATTACTCAAGTCTTCAGTGTCACATGATCCTTCAGAAATCATTCTAATTATTTATAATCAATGTTGGAAACAGTTGTGCTGCTTAATATTTTTGGGACCTATGATGCTTTTTTCAGGATTCTTTGATAAAAAGGAAAAAAAAAAAGTGTTTATTCACAATATAAATTTTGTGTTATATACACTACTATTCAAAAGTTTGGGGTCAGTCAAATTTTTTTTTTAATAACAGGGTGTCCGCGGGTCCTTAAAGTCTCAATGTCTTAAATTCGGATTCGATGGGTCTTAATTATTTTTGGTCTCATTACCGCTAAAATATTTTCAGTCTGACGGACCTAATGACTTTACAATCATTAGACAGACCGAAGATTTGTTCTTCCCCGCGGTAAGTTACTGCGTCGTCAGAGAGAATTGCAGTAAGTTAGCAGAATACAGAATACAAGCTCGCGCTTAGGCTCACTGTTTGTCTCAAGACTTCAGAAAAAATTAGCGTGACAGCACACATAAACTCAGAAGAAACACACTGAGGTAAAAATTCTAAATGTTTAGTTTATTCATAACATGATATAGTTAAATAACACCATGACAAGTGAGCTATTTTACTCAATATTCTCACGACGCAAAAAAAACATTCAAAACACCTACAGAGTGCACGCATTACGTGAAGTCTAGTGCGCGTGTGCATTTACAGTGCACTCTTTCACTGCATGATTCAGTCTATTAAAATACATTCAGAATGATCACAAATTCAAGACATGGGGGCAGAAAATGTGTATATTTATACTCAAGTTCACACGAAAGAGTGCCTTTTTTCTCTCCAAAATTTACCATATACAAATGTGATAATGATTTTTTACAACAGTTCAATAAACTAGATGTTTTATTTAGAGACTTACATTTTAGACACCATATTGCCTGTTTTTGCACTATTTCGCCAACAAAAATAATTCCAAACAAAGCGAAAGGTCTTAAATTTAACTTGTTCAAGTCTGCAGAAACGCTGAATAAATACTTTTATTCAGCAAGGAATGTGTTAAATTGATAAAAAAGTGATTGTAAAGACTTAAATATTTTGTATATATACTTAAATATTGATATTGTTGGAAAAGATTTCCATTTTGAATGTTTTTTTTTTCTTTTTATTCATCAAAAAATTAAAAGAAAAAAGTATCACAGGTTGCAAAAAGATATTAAACAGCACAACAGTTTCAACACTGATAATAAATCAGCATATTAGAATGATTTCTGAAGAATCATGTGACACTGAAGGCTGGAGCAATGGCTGCTGAAAATTCAGCACTACATCACAGAAATAAATTTGAAATCATCACAATTAAAAGAACCAAAGACTTAAACTACTTCAGTCTGTGTGCATTGCATTTATTTAATACACAAGTTTCACAATTTGAGTTGAATTACTGAAATAAATTAACTTTTCCACGACATTCTAATTTATTGAGATGCACCTGTACGTGCAAGCACCGAATTCATCAAACAACAAAGATGCAGAGTAAGATTAATTGTGCAGTGTAGTCAGATTTTTTTATTAACGGGAGTTTTTGCGAGATTAAACTGACCTTTTTAGTAGCCTAATATTCAGAGTTCTTTACTCGCTTTCTGTACACAGTTTATTGCATGTTTTTTTTTATTATTTTATTTTACAAGAGAACTTGCGAAGTCTTGATTTAGCCTACTACTAATGCGTAAAATAGAAAAAAATTCATAAACGCATCTCCCCCTGTTTTTTCTGTGTAGCCTATAATAATAGGCCTAGCCGATGTCATGCAATAACGGTTTTAATACATTCTATTCAATAACATTGTTAACGGTTTTTATTTATAACATCTGCTGCTTTGCGTCTGTGAAAATGAATAGAGACATCAGCCTTAAACTTTGTTTTTGTCATTTACATCAGTTATATTTGTATAAAATACACTAGCCTATATATTTTTGTGTCAGTACATTAATTGCACATTTGAGCAGCATTAGTAAACCCTGTAAATATAAAGAAAGGCCAAATCACATGCAGGTTTTTTCAGACCGGAGACCATAATCATGTAATAATTTATTTTATGATGATATGAAACGTCTAATTTTTCTTTCAATAAAGCTTTTTAAAATTTTGCAAGAATTTCGTGATATTAAACTTTTCATTAGTGATTTTAAAAGTAGGATGGCTCACTTTTTATAAGATGACTGAATTTTACTTGAATTCATAGTTTATTCTTACATTTGGAAACCTAATCGTGTTTATAATTACTGTTGTTATTATTATTATTATTATTATTATTATTATTATTACTGTTGTTTCTAGTAGTTTTGATAATAGTCAATTGAAAAATATATAACAACACACAGTTTGTCCACAGAATAAATACACATTAAATAAAATGCGTCCCCGCACGAACCTCTACCTCCGCCAGCAGAACCTCAATTTCAGACTCAGTAAAGCTTTTTTTTTTCCTTTGTACTTGTCATTCTCAAGCATAGAAATTTGGATATTGGCGTGTGCTCTTTTATATGGTAATGATATTAATTAGGGGGCGTTTATAAGGCAGAGATCTGACACCAGTCAGTTGCGCACAATTTCAAGATCATGTGCGATTTATAGGCCTAAATGTCACATCTGGAAGAGAGGCGTACGCACGTGTTGGTTTTAAAGACAAAGAGGACGGCTCAGTCTTTCAGCAAATCAATATAAAGTTACAAGCACTTGCAGCTTTTAAGATCTGCTTTTCATGGAGCATTAAACAGTGCAAACATTGTCCTGTTGCTGAGGTGTTTTAATCTCCTTCATTGACTCCATCCATTCATGTTTCCTAAAATTCAGCTCAGCTTTAGCGTTTAAGGATTTAGACTGTCTCTCTCCTCTATAAAACAGACAAGGACTATCTTTGTAGCATTTCCCTTTGGGCTCAGGGTGTTGTTCATGTGTATTAGCAGGATTAGGGGAAGTGAAGCCTGAGAGTATCCTCCGGTTGGAGGAAGCCAAGGAGAAATAAGAAGGATTGTACCAATACTGGGTAGGAAACTATGCCAAATGAGTTGTTGCACCACGTAGCTCCACTCTTTCACCTTCAATATGAGAGGATTAAATATGGAGTGTGCAGACACTTTCCAAGGACAACCACTCGAGCAGGTGCCACTTCATAAGCTTCAAGTTCAAAATGCTTTTTACGGTGCAGATGTACAGAATGTTCAAGGAACCATCATTGTTTGGAAAATCTTTTATTGAAGAAAAAAGAGGTGATGAGATTAAATGCTAATGAAAAAGCATGGGGAATTGATTTAGAAAGTAATCAGAGATTCTGAGCAATGTTCAGTGTAATAAACTATCTGGGAGATAATTGTTATTCAGCCCAGAATAACAGCCTGCCACACTATATTTCAGGAGAAGCAAGATGCAAATGGCGTGTCGGAGCAAAATTTTGTATAAACAATACATCATTGTTTGGAAAATCTTTTATTGAAGAAAAAAGAGGTGATGAGATTAAATGCTAATGAAAAAGCATGGGGAATTGATTTAGAAAGTAATCAGAGATTCTGAGCAATGCTCAGTGTAATAAACTATCTGGGAGATAATTGTTATTCAGCCCAGAATAACAGCCTGCCACACTATATTTCAGGAGAAGCAAGATGCAAATGGCGTGTCGGAGCAAAATTTAGTATAAACAATATAATCACATACATCATGAATCATTTTAAAATTACATTTACAAATAAACCACTGAAATATATCTAATGGCACACTGATGCAGAATTTGTAAGAAGGAAACAATGGTTCAGTTTTACTTGCATGTAAACAGTTTGAAGGTGTTAATGTCATATTTGCACAACAATAATCCTTCTTTTTATTGAAATGCTCATCAGGGCAAGGCTGTTTAATTTGGATTCATCACCATGGAATTTTATTTATAGCCAGCCCTCTGGTATTTTTTCCAAACTTATCAAATATAAGATAATACAGTAAACGAGTTAGAATATTATAGTTAATGCGATAGTTAACCCCCCCCCAAAAAAAAAAATTGACAATGATGCCTTCTGCCATCTTTTTATTTTACCCTTATTTCTTTCTCCATATA